GCACCCCTTGGTAGAGCAGTTCAGAGCTTATATTTAGTAGCCATCCCCTACGGGCCCTTTCTAGGGACCCCGGCTTTTGTCAACTGAGGTGGAGACTGGCAGGCTCTGCGTTTGCTTGCAGCATCAAGCAGTCTCGTGGGTACCGATCCGGCACCAAGTTCTTGCAGCAAGCCTCCTCCTTTGGACTCTTTGCATCTACCTTGGCTCTTCTCGTTTTTTACTCGGCCAACTATTACTTTGACGATCCTTGGATGAGCAAAAACTTCGGGAGTGGCTCTTCATGGCTAATCTTCTTCACCTCTCGCGTTTGCGACGCCTTTGCGCTCTTTTTCTATGCCGGGTTAGTTTTGAGAGCAACGGGCCTTCTAGATGCTTGTCCAATTTTTTCTTTTTCTTGAGTGGCTCTGCGTCATCATGTTTAGGTGCGCGTGATCAATGTTTCGTGTTCAGCTCAATTTTCTTCTTGGAAGCATATCATTCCGAAGGAGCTGGCGAGGCGTGGGGATGGCTGGGAGCCATTTGCTTTAAGCTCGCTGCATTTGCAGGTATGTCTCCGTCTATAACATCTTTGTGTTGTCGCCTTCAGAGTCGCAGCTTCTTCAGGGGAGCAGCTAATTGGAGCTCTTGCAAGTGTATCTGTCCTTTTACTGCAGAGATTGCAGCGCTAGCTGCGTGGGGCAGCTCCTCCTTTGAGGTGCTTGATGCGGTCTTCACCGTTATGCTTGGAGTTTCCCTCAGCATTGCGTTTCTTTGGTCGCTTTTTTTCGAGCCTGCCAGCCACCGGTTCGACGTTCGCCTAACACAGTCAGCTATGAGAAATGAGTACTACAAGTCTCGCAACGCCATGGCGTACTACGGCCCAGCAGTTGTGAACGCAGATGGTGAAATTGACATCGCTGCAGCTGCAGAGCAGGCACAGGCTTGCCTGGGTTGCTGCTGAATCAGTACCCACATGGTGTACTGCGGGAGCATGCCTAGGGTAGGGGAGCTGCAGCCCCCACCCGAGTTTGGCCAGCTTGTACATGCAATAGCATTAGACGGCACGTAGGAAGCTAGAACAATCAAAGCATGCTCCCTTCTGATGCTTCAGGAAACGTTAAATCCGTGTTCCTGACTGTTGAGTGGGCAGCCGCTTTGATGTTCTTTTAGTCGTTGTTACTAAATGCGCTTCATCTTGAGAGCCGCAACTTTTATACGGGTCTTATTTAGCGAGCATTCACTTCTCGATGAAATGAGAAGAGTTTTGCCTTTCACAAGAGCGGGGCGAATGGTGTGGAAGCTTTTTCGCCCGTTCGTCTAGACAAAAGAAATCCCTTTTCAGTTATTTGGAGTGCATGAAAGCCCGAGCCTGACAAAAGCTTGCAGGGTCAGTCTCTTCTGTCGCAGAACTGTTAATACATGATAATAGAGCACTGAGACACAAATAACTCCTTCATGAGACTGCAGATGCCAACGCTTGCCATACTATCCAGAAACTACTCTTTATCTGTCAGGAACCTACTGAAGCACGTTTTTTGGCAAGAGCGTACCACCCTCTAGGAAAAACCTTGGTGTGTTGCTATAGTCATAGAGATGAAAATAGGTTCAGTGAAGGACTGCAGGTGCCAGTACTACCTACAGGAACAATACTGCCCACAGACTTACATTCGTTCCTTGCCAGGTCGTTGGCAAGATACAGCATATGCAGAAAACGGCGGCCTATCTCAAAGAGCAAACGTTTTAAAATAGAAAATGTCGTTAGTTGGGTTGTGTTGTCTAAAGCTCACCATGATTCCGATGGTGCGAATCAACATACTCCCTTGCGCGCCTTTCTTGCACCAACGCTTGATAATTACTCTATGTTGTACAGGGATTCGATATCGCCACAGAACACTTGTTTGCAAAACAGTTCTCGCCTACGATATGGCATGCCAGTCTGCCAAAGTAGCGGCTTCGTAGCAACCATAATCACCCAGATCGGCCAAGTCATCGAAGTATGCTTTAGCAGGGTGTGCAGTTCAGACATGCCTGGGCTTGCTCTGCAGCTGCAGCGATGTCAATTTCACCATCTGCGTTCACAACTGCTGGGCCGTAGTACGCCATGGCGTTGCGAGACTTATAGTACTCATTTCTCATAGCTGACTGTGTTAGGCGAACATCGAACCGGTGGCTGGCAGGCTCGAAAAAAAGCGACCAAAGAAACGCAATGCTGAGGGAAACTCCAAGCATAACGGTGAAGGCCGCATCAAGCACCTCAAAGGAGGAGCTGCCCCACGCAGCTAGCGCTGCAATCTCTGCAGTAAAAGGACAGATACACTTGCAAGAGCTCCAATTAGCTGCTCCCCTGAAGAAGCTGCGACTCTGAAGGCGACAACACAAAGATGTTATAAAGGGAGACATACCTGCAAATGCAGCGAGCTTAAAGCAAATGGCTCCCAGCCATCCCCACGCCTCGCCAGCTCCTTCGGAATGATAAGCTTCCAAGAAGAAAATTGAGCTGAACACGAAACATTGATCACGCGCACCTAAACGTGATGACGCAGAGCCACTCAAGAAAAAGAAAAAATTGGACAAGCATCTAGAAGGCCCGTTGCTCTCAAAACTAACCCGGCATAGAAAAAGAGCGCAAAGGCGTCGCAAACGCGAGAGGTGAAGAAGATTAGCCATGAAGAGCCACTCCCGAAGTTTTTCGA